GCCTGTATTGCGCAAGCGAACTTACCGACCGAACGACCGCCGCTTGTCAGCGAAGTTAGTGCCAACTTTAATGGATAGAGGGTGTTGCGTGGTCAGCGCAACGAATCCCTACGGTTTTCTAGACCGGAGCCGCTATTTCCTTGAAATAGCTCCTCAATTGTCCTCACGAGGCTGAATGGACCCCGTTCCAGACCCACTGCTTCTTAGAAAATATGGTACTGACGGGAATCGAACGCGTGACCTCAGATCTGTAGCCTGGAACTTTGACCACTAGACCACAGAGGAGGTCCTTGAGGTTCATTGCTGATATAAATTTTCTGCTAGTGCCCTGGTCATGTGAACGCGGCGGGGGAAGTTTCTTGATACCGGTTGAGCAAACAAAACATTCTCGAAAAAGTCCCTCTACTCCACGAAGTTACTTTGCGGCCAGCGCTTTATAATTGCTTATAATTTTTTAAACAACCGTGTGAACGGAAACGCCCGTGGGAGGAATAAGATTAAGGTGTGAGAACAAAGGGTTCAAGGAAATCATTTTCCCCTTGAAATCTAGATCTGTACAAGGGGGCTCGAATTGCTCTTCCGCCGTAGGCTTGCTGTGTTGTCCGAGACTGCTTGTCTCTGTTCTTTCTTTACGATGGCTTACAGATGGCAATCAGTTCAGACATATAAACTCACTCACGGAGCTGAGCCCTTCTTGAGAAGCTGCCAATTATGCAGCTACTCAAGAACCCAAAGGTCCATTACTGTGTTAACGAGAGCCCTCCACTGGTCCCTATCCTGAGCCAGGTCAATACAATCCGTACCATCCCATCCTATTTCTCCAAGATCCATTTTAATATTGTCCACCAACCTACGTCTTGCTCTTCCCAGTGGTCTCTTTCATTCCGGTTTTCCCACCAGTATCCTATACAGTGGGTTTCACGACTTTAGGTCATAACTGCAGGAGGTGATTTCCTAGGTCTTTGTGATCAAAAAATTTCATATAAACATATGCCCGATTTTGGACGGTTANCATTATGCAGTTTTCTCCAACCTCCCGTAACTTCATTTCTCTTCGATCGAGATATTCTCCCCAGCACCGTGTTCTGAAACACCCCCAGTTATGCTTATAAAACAAGCCACATGAGTTTCTATAAGGCAGGCAACACATTTTGCAGCACGTGTACCATCCTGAGACTCTCATATGCATGTACGCATGCGCAAGCTCACCGTCACTTAACCTTGGCCGCCATGTATATATTTCTAGGCTTAATTGTTCACTCTGTGCTTAATTTTCTAGGGTTAACGTTGAGGGTTTTGGTATAAGAAGCTGAAGCCTGTGATTATTTTAGTTGCACAATGTGCATCGTTTGACTTCATAACTTGTACTCTTCTCCAAGCATAATTAGAATGATCAAGTCAAGGAGGATGAGATGGGCAGGTCATGTAGCACGAATGGGGGAGACGAGGAATGCGTATAGGATATTGGTAGGAAAGCCAGAAGGAGGAGACCACAAGGAAGACCAAGGTGTAGGTGGGTGGACAATATTAGAATTGATCTTAGAGAGATAGGATGGGATGGTATGGATTGAATAAATCTGGCTCAGGATAGGAGCCAGTGGAGAGCTTTTGTGAACACGGTAATGAATCTTCGGGTTCCATAAAATGCTGGGAAATTTTTGAGTAGCTGCAGAATTGGCGGCTCCTCCAGAAGGGCTCATCTCCATGAGTGAGTGAGTCGTTTGACTATTTCCTGTGTATTTCTTAGTTTGTGCTCCTCACCAAATAAAAGTAGCAACCAAAGAGGATGAGATGGGATGAACACGTACAATTTTAGTTTGATTTCTTAATTTTTTTACTTAATCAATAGCGTGTTTACAATCTACTCTCGATAATATGTAGTAATAACTATATTTTTTCAATGTATGTGTCTTGAGTAGAAGTCATCCTCTGATGACACTCTGACAGGCCCGGTAGAGGAATGGTGATGGTTTTAATCTTCGTCATCTGCGGGTTGTGGCACGTCAGACACCCGCTCTCCCCCCAGTCTTCTTACATTTTGGGGGGTTGCTAATTTCTGCAACTGGTCTGCTACTGGGTCCGAGTATGCTTGGATGGTAGAGCGTTACAGTCTATGTATTTCTCCTATGACAAATGGGATTTGCAGATCAGTGTGGATAGTAACGTTGGAGACATACCGAGGTGCTTTCGTTACTGAGCGCAAGAATTTGGATTGAAGTCTTTGAATTATTTTCGTGTTTGATGGTTCTGTACAGCCCCATAGCTGTATACCATATGTCCATATGGGTTTTATTATGCACTTGTAAAGACTTCAACTGAAATGAATTTCTGTTTCGGCCAGGCGTCCCCCAGGAATGTTCCGAGCACAGGCTGGCCGTGCTACATGCGCGTGTGCGTGCGACGCGTCGACGCATGAGAGGGAGAGATCAGCCACGCACCCCCTCCCCCCACCGAATGTGTGACCTCACAGGAGGCTCCGGGACCCGGCATTCGGCAATATCAAACATTTTCCGAATCCAGTCAAGTCTTAATTTCGTTCTTGAATGCGAGCTGGGGTAATTTTATCCGAAGGAATTCCGAGAAGTTGTACACTTCCAGCAAAACCCTTATTTTTAAACAATCTCTGGATAAGAGCGCGTAACATATGTAGGGCCCCACGTTTTAATTTATAATACAAATTCAGGGGGTTCTGGTTTCGATTCCTGCCTCAGCCACTAAAGCTGAAAAGTTAAAACCAAAATTAAACATCTCTCCACGAAGACGTACCATGGATAGGAGGTGTAGCTTCACTCATTCTTAATATTGTGGCATGTAGACCCATTGCTGGGCAATGTAGTACATTGTTTGAGCCGCCTCATTATGTATCTCGACACGAGAACGTTATTCTTTTAATGTAAATTCATCTGGACTCCTATGTATAATAACTTATTATAGTCTAGCTGGCGTAAAAGTGTTTCGAGACGTTACGTTCACCGGGAATGTTATGAAGAGAGTCAGAACACAACATAAGAGCGAACTTAGACAAATTATTTTAAAACTTTTCACGACAGCCATACATTACAACATATAGTCCCTTAATTTTAAATTTCTTTTTGGTGTAATCTCATCCTACGCTCCGCTTCGCTCCATGAGCTATTAAAGAGGATGGCGAAGCGGCTGAGACTTCCTTCTCCCCGACAGTTCATCAGGGGATTAGAGAAATCTCACGCGGATGAAGGAGTCCAAGGAAGGGTTTACGGAATTGTGTACTGAAATGTGATTGGTTAGTGGATTTCGGGATTTAAGTGGATTTGAGGTTTTAATTGAATGAATGTTGGAGGGATCTCTTTGAGTAATCGCCTGAAGGCAGATTGGATAAGCGCGACAAATACACGAAAGGTAGAATGTTAAATCGGAGTAATGTCGAAATATACAGCATAATGGTAGCTATATTTACCACCTGCTGTAGCATTCTATTCTTTGCATTTTGTGCACGGATCGTAAGGTACAGGTAAGTTTTCCCTGCGTTTAACTGATTAAGCACTACACCATGAAGGCGTATGGGGAAGTGGATATATAGATCCACATTTTCTTGACCTCTGCACTAGTTGGTGAGTGGTCATCTTCACGCCCCGGACGTTTTATTCCACAGTGTCCATTGGATAGGAAGTTGTGTGGACCCCAGAGCTGGTCTGCACGATGTGAAGAGAGAATTCTTGACCCTACCGGGACTCGAACTTCGACCCCTATGTTGTCCATCCCGTAGACAGTCGCTATACTGACTACACTTTCCCGGCTCATGTGCACGGATTCTATTAATGGAAATTCACGTCATTTCTGTAAAAGCATTATCAGATTGGTCTTGCATGTGTGACGTAGTGTGCGGTCTCTGGAGTGTCAGACTCCTGAAGTTCAGCTCGTGTCACGGCTCCGGTTTGCTACATTTGCGCATTCTTGTTCTTGTTCTTCTGTCTATAAAAGGTAAAAGTTGTCCCTGTGCTTATCTAAGTACTATGCCATGAAGACATATAGGGGAGTGGAGGTATAGCTCCACCATTCTTGACCTCGGCACTAGTTGGAGGTGAGAGGCCAGCTTCACGTCCCGACTTCACCCTCAGCACCAATTGGATAGGAGGCTGGGTGGGTACCAGGGCCAGTGTGGTCGTTGTAGAGAAGAGAAAATGTTGCCCTTGTCGGGAATCGAACCCGGATGTGCAGCCCATAGCCTATCGCTATCCGGACTGAATTATCCCGGCTTTTCCTCGTGTTCATGTTCCCTGAACTACTGATCGTTCCGTTCCCCTTCAGTGAACGTCTACTGTAGCAGTCAGCGCTCTGCATTCGTTTTTATAAGTGTCGCCCTCTGTTTCGACTGGGAATCCGTCTGTCAATTCATGGTTCCATCAGTTCTGCACGGAACATTTTGTAGCAGTACCTTCATCTGATTCATCAACCTACCATCTGGTGTTACATAATAACGTATGCAGTTGAGGTAGAGTCGTTAAAATAAGCGAAGGCACACTTCAGTCTCCTTCCTTCCGTCACTTCATAGATTCCCTGTCACCACTGCATTTCTTGGATTAATAGTCAGAAGCAGGGTCCACAGAATCGAGACCGGAGCCGACCAAGCGCTCTGTCCGGTGGTTACCAGAGGCTTTCCCCTCAGGGTCTAGGCAGCCGGGCGATGAAGCCGGACACTCAATTTAATGCTGATGTCAAGAATAAAACCGTCATGGTGGGATGCCAGGTTTGGCACAGGAATACCTTTACATTACTCACTTCAAACGGCTGTACCATAACCGAAATTATATAACGCTCTATGTCCAACAGATATTCTTTCTACTCGTGCAGCGGCGTTGCCATGGTAACAGTCAGAAGAAGCGTCGTACACGTGGGAAGATACAGACACGAGGAGAAGAGTAATATATTCTAGGGTTAGCCTACGTTTCGGATGAACACATAACCGCCATCTTCAGGGAGGAAATTTCATTTTCTAAAGTTTACTATGTTCTTGTTTTCAGGAATATGTGTTTCGTTACCATGGACAGAAGATGGGTGCTCTGGAGCCTCATGTGTTCGCCCTGGCAGAAGCGGCGTACAAATCACTGCAGGCATCAGAGAACTGCAATCAGTCATGCGTCATCTCCGGGGAGAGCGGGGCGGGCAAGACGGAAACAACAAAATTCATCCTCCAGTACCTGTGTTCGGTCACCAGCAACGTCAGCACTTGGGTGGAGCAGCAGATTCTCGAGGCCAACACCATTTTGGAAGCTTTCGGTATTCATTTTATTCGTTTTTAATTTATTTAACGACGTTGTAGGTGTCTCGAGACTACCTCTGTGGTCTAGTGGTCAGAGGTCCAGGTTCCATTCCCCGTACTACCAGATTTTCTGATAAGTAGTGGATCTGGAGCGCGGCCCGCTCAGCCTCGTGACGATAACTGAACAACTATTTCACGGAAATAGCGGCTCCGGTCTAGAAAACCGAGATTAATGGCCGTGGAGATCAGTTGCGCTGACCATGCGACACCTTCTATCCGCTAGAGTTGGCACTAACTTCGCCGACAAGCGGCGGTCGCTCGGTCAATATAGTTCGCTTGCGGACTGAAACCACGGAGTAGGTGTCTCGAATGATTGAATGGTAATTGGAATAAATATGTCAAGAAGCGGTCGTGGCATGTTTTAAAGTAATGTTCTGGCGTATACATGAAGGGACGGAGGAGAACCACGAAATCCCTGAATTATAATAGTGAATGTCCTGGCTGACTTTCCGACCGAACATCAACTCCAGAGTCGATGATCCTCCAGGTCGAAGGCGGTCGGTACCTTCGATATTATACAGATATTTATATGTAACCTGTGTGTGTAATTCTCATTCCAACCGCTCCACAGTCATTCATCATCCTATTATCGACGCTCTATAGCCTCGATACTGACAGCATCATCAAGTAGCCGGCCTAAATACAACATTGCATTAATCTAAAAGAGAATATAAACCCCCTGTCTGATGTAAATTTACAGACACGTTACACACTTGAATTTAACAACATGTAGCTAGGTCACGGCCACCACCGTGATTTTTCTTTTCTAAGGGCGGACAGCCAGTTTACATTGGGGGGGGGATCAATTAGGAGAATATTTTATGCATTTATTGATCGCCCTAGAATATTCAGAATAAAATACGTACAGTGTTTAGAAAAATAATTTCGAGTTTTGATATATATATATATCTTTCTTTTTTCAATTTTTTTAATCTAATACGTTCCTCCGAAACGTCAGAAAACTTCTACTGACTATACACTTCACATCCAAAAGGAAGTGCTTCTTAGTCACGTGAGAACCACAACAGCAAGTAAGGCATTTTTACTTGATAAGATGAAGCTTCTATAGCTGTCATGGCCACGTCACATGTTAACCATTTATTTACCGTATCACAAACGCTGTTCTGTTTTAACATCTTTCTGTTAAGCTTTACCGTTTAAAAAAAGTGACATGGGTCTGAGTCTAGAGGCATATTTTTTAATTTTTTTTTATTATTATTGCTAGTGGGGTGGGACTAAGTCCCTTGCACTGCGGCCACTTCTGGCCTAATGTACCAGCCCCAGATGATAGGTGAGGGTGATTGTGGAGAAATTGGTGGAATGAAGATTGGCAGGGGAAACCGGAGTACTCGGAGAAAACCTGCCCCAGCGCCACTTTGTCCACCACAAATCTCATATGACCACACCCAGGCTCGAACCTGGGCCTTTGCGGCAGGAAGCCAGCGACTAACCGCCTGAGCTATGGCGCAGCTGAGTCCAAAAGCTTACAAGCCAAAAGGAATTTTATAGCGCCTTGTTCTTGCGGCAACTTCTCTGCCCTGAGAGCTTGGCGGCTTGCATAACCATCAGGCGGTGTAAGTATTTCACTCTGGTTTATGCATGTGTATGAGAGAGCGGTGTGCGAATCCAGAGTCCTTGTTGAGAACGTTATAGTCTCTCAGCTGGCTAATACATAAATTCCCTGACATTTATGGAGCCTGAAGGCCCATTGCCGTATTCACAAGAGCCTGCCACTGCTCCTTGTCCACAATAGCTGATTTTCTTTCCAGACCCATTTGTGGGCGCACACCGGGCCGTGTTACATCTCGGCAAGTCAGAGAAGTTTCTTTGTGTTTATCTGAAGACGGAGACAGAATAAGTCTCCGAAACATTGTGTTTTGTAATATAAACAAGGCTGTGGTTTTAGATAAAGACAGGACGATTAGAAAAATAATATTTGTATTCTTGTGTTTTGTTGGATTCCTGGCTACACAGACCTGCTGAGGAATGAGGCCTCCGGTTAAGAAATTGTACACCAGATCGAGCCTTGAGTAGTGATATTCACGTCAGTCGTCAGTGCCCTCTTCTGTTGTTGTGTTAAGACGAACGGAACGAGGCAGCGGGAAACAGACCTGAAGCAGCCCCGTCAAGGTGTAGGATGGTATCGTAACACACGACTTCGGATTGCTGACACCGGTGTTACCCGGGGCCTTTTGTTACCAGTGTGACGTCCCACTTACAATCGTACACATTCTTTGTGAATTCCAATGTCATGAGGTGGACCTCCGAACATTCCATCTTTACGTCGAGTTGCGTGACCTCCTAACGAGATGACCACCGGAACAAGTCTAAAATTATAGCATTCCTTCGTTGTCTAGGGGAAAAAAAGGCAAAGTTGCCCCTGTGCTTAACTAATTAAGCATTACGCCATGAAGGCGTAGGAGAGAGTGGATATATAGATCCACATTAGTAGTGTAGTCGGTATAGCGACTGGCTACGGGCTGGACGTGAGGAGCCGGGATAGCTCAGTCGGTATAGCGACTGGCTACGGGCTCGACGACCGAGGAGTCGGATTTCGAATCCCGGTAGGATCAAGAATTTTCTCTTCTCTACGTCGTCCAGACCGGCTCTGAGGTCCACCCAACCTCCTATCTTATGGGTACCGCGGACTCTTTCCCCGAGGAAAAACGGCCGGAGCGTGAATTTGACCACTCACCTCCTGCTGTGCCGAGGTCAAGAAAATGTTGCACAAGTGGTGACAAGTTTATTTAATCGACGTTATTTTATTCTTCTGACTGGGAAATATTACCTACATTTGTTTTACGATATCACTGGCCCATGTGCAGCCTGTTTTATGAAGAGTTAGAGAAAAGCTCTATGGATGGGGCTCAGCTGAGTAGGGCGTTTCTTATCTGAAGACGGAGAGAGTCCAGTGTCCGAAACGTTGTTGTTAAATAAAGCAAGTAGGATGATGGAATGTTCAAAAAGTCCAAAACTGTATTTATGTTGTTTTACTTTACAATTATATCCCCCATTCTTTCAATGCTAGTGGGGTGGGACTAAGTCCCTTGTACTGCGGCCACTTCTGGCCTATTGTACCAGCCCTAGATGATAGGTGAGGGTGATTGTGGAACAATTGGTGGAGTGAAGATTGGCAGGGGAAACCGAAGTACTCGGAGAAAACCTGTCCCAGCGCCACTTTGTCCACCACAAATCGAACTTGACCAGACCCGGGATGGAACCCGGGCCGCCGCAGTGGGAAGCCAGCGACTAACCACTTCAGCTATGGCGCGGTCTTCTGTCCCCCATTAGACGGATCACTATTCTGTTTGATAGGTTATTTCATTAAGTGTTATTGTTGGTTTTGAAATAATATGATATACCTTCATGTTTATCCAGAAATAGCATTTGATGCTGACGAGCCTTGACGTCCACGCACGCACACACACACCTTCAGAGTTTGAACCCGCTGCGTTGTTTCTAAACATTTCAGTTTCGCGGTGAGGGGTTATTAAATCCACGCCAGACCCACAAGTTGGAGGACTATCCCGTTTCGGCTGTTTATGACAGCTTGTTCAGTTTATTCTCAGCCACTTTCAGTACCTGAGTCTGTCCATTACACCCACGACTCGAGGTCGCTTCATGCCGTTGTGATTATGGACCGTATAACAAACCATTTCTCTCTATTCTAACGTCTTCACTTCCACTCTTTTGTTATCTGAAGGACAAGCGGGTGAACCCCGGGAACCTTCTGACAAAACGACGCTCTTTCTCTTCCCCCGCTCCCCCCGCAATAACGTGTCTCTCACTTCTGTCATGACTTTCACCTCCTCTAATTTTGTACTTGTTTGCCGGTCTCTCTTCTTCTCGAGGCTTCAGAGTGTTAAAAAGGAAAAAAGGTAAATGTATCCCTGTAACAGACCGTGAAGGCCCATAGGGTTGTGAGATATTGAGGCTTCCAAATTTTGTGGGCAATCGGCTCACAGATGGCCGTAAGGTTGTCAGCCTTACGCGCCGTCCGCCTTCTACCTTCCCCTCCCAGGAAGATTTCTGTTAGGGGCTCAGTCGACTCCAGAGTGCGGCTGGAAGAATTAGGTAAATTGAAAAAATCCACCTCATCGGGACTCGAACCCGCAACCATCCGACTTGTAGCATAGTGCCACAACCAACTACGCTACCGCATTCCTATTCGGTATTGTACTAGGGCATCTGAGCTATAATTTGTAAAATATTTTGTAATAATTAACGACGGATCCAGATAATCCTAAGTACTTCCTGATGTGACCGAGAATTATTTTTATACTGTCGCTTTTTTTTCGTCACAGAGAAATATTTTTTTATTAGTTCTATAAGAATATAACAGAACATTTGTAGAACTGAATATTCTTATTAAACGTAAACGCGTCAAAGTAATAATCCAATTTAATAGTACATCCTCTGTGAATTTTGTAGTACATGTATATATGTGTGTATGCTACATTTATTTAACGAGATCCTGAAGTTAATATTGATATTTTCGATGAATTCTGCTTGGTCGTAAAATTATATTTGTAAGGACCATCCATCCAAAATTTAATAAAATCCTGTCACAATAGTCAAGAATATAAACAAAGTACCGTTCGTCTCGGTGTTGTCGTGTGCAGGTGTACGCATCATGTTTTGTCGACTGCCTTGAATGAATTTTTCGTGACTTGTTTTTCCTAAGAGCCAAGCTTTGACACAGAATACGAACGCCTCCTTCCAAGGAGTGATACTTGTGTCGTTTTCCTATTCCTCTTTCAATGCTGATGTTAGTTCTTCAGCGAACAGTCTACAATAAATACACAAGAAGCGACAAATGGACGCGATGTCATATGACGTAATATGACGCATGCGGAGATGAGTCAAGATATAAATCATCTCAGTTTTTATTGGTTTTATCTTATATTCAATTTGCGTTCTTTTCAGGGCATGAAGGTTGTGTATTCGTGATTAAATTGGATAAAATCACAACATAAATTTGAGAAAAACAATTCCATTTCGTCCGTTTCCAGTGTTCAACTGTTCACGTTTCAAACATGACGTATATCCTCGTTTTTCCAGTTCCACAAACTTCAAGAACTAAAGCTACGAAATATTTTTGTGGCATCGTGTATCCTGCTTCTTTTTGGTCACAGTTCGGTAGTTCTTTTTCTTTTTGGAAATACTTAAACGCTTTCGTATCACATTAGGGTATAAAGCTGACACCATACACACCGTTTTATCTCCAACTAACATGCAATTATCCTTGGTCGTCTAGTCACTTCCAGTTGTCAGTGGAGTCCATTTGTTCCGATGCTGAACATCAAAAACGTGATTTCATTATCGTGAGGATGAAGTTGACAATTCGACCACTAGGGGACAGTGCGAACGGAAAGCGACTGCAGCAAGTAGCGCTATCATTGGTAGTACTTCGAAATATCAGCGAGGAGAAAGTCGAATTAATCTGTTACAAACCTCTGTAAGATATGGAGTTTTCACAGCGGTGGTTATACTTTGGGACATAGCGCAATGTAGTCTGTTGAAAGTCAACCAAAGTTTCCGTTGAATATGTCGCCTCCATCTTCAGGGTTGAAGAGTAAACCAGGCAAGAAACCAGCATGAAGCAGCAAACAAGGTTTGCTGGTTTCTTGCACCTATTACTTTTCAACCCTGAAGGTGGAGCCGACATGTTCCTCCGAAACGTCGGTAGACTTTCAGTGGACAACACGACTTTATTTCACAGAGGATCAAACTCTTTATTGCAGTATTGATTCATATTTGCTTGAATCTCAAAGAGTACTTGAGAATCGTTAAACAAGGCTTCATTAAATTTGATATTAAGAGGATTTGTTAAAATTTGTTGACACGTTTCAATTTTGGTTGACATTGAACAAAAATAATGGATGCTTTACATGCATTCATTTGATCGCACATCTTGAGCATAACTTCTGAAATATTTATCGGAGCAAAAACCTTTTTGAACAAGAGTTATAGAGAAAAATGAAGCACACATTTTATATCGTGCACTTTTTCTGTTAATGTTATGATTTTCGATATTATTAAACATGGATTCTTATATTATGCATACATTTCCTAACTTATATGTTAACCAACCAGCAGTGTTCTTCTGAACATATCCAAAGGTTATGGGAGTTACAGCGTTGAAGAAAATATTTTGGACATAGGGTAGATAAAGTAGGTGAGAAAGGAGCGAATTACAGATGAAAAACATATTTATTTCTTTTCGGAGATGTTGAAAGTATTCTAAATTTGGGGAGGTAATGCCAAAATAGCCAAATTTATTTGTGTGTTGGGAACAAGGATGGTAGTACGGACATTCCTAGGCCCACCACCCCCTGTTAAATTTTTTAAGATGACTGAATCAAGATATTGCTTTGGAAGACATGTAGTGAAATGGGTTAATTAAGAATATTGGTTTTGAGATAACTTGGAAACCAGACACTTGGGTGACAAAAAATAAATTTGTTTTATCACCATGTGTTGCATAAGCTGTGGAGGGAGTTCATATGTTATCAGTATGGTTTCCAGGGTTCAGCTTCTTGAAGTCTGTCAGTTCTGTGTGCATGTGCATAGTGTGAATAAACCTCATTCAGTTGAACTGGAGCCAGTTCTGGATTTACATATATGCTATTTAAGCAACAACTTGGGGCCTCACAAAATTACAAAGAAGCAACTTGAGGCAAACACAATATTCTCTTCTAAAATTTGGAAGATAGGCAGCGCGCTGCATTTAATTGGTGCCATGTGACGGAAGCAACACACACAGGAATGCCTGCAACAGTTAAAAACAAATTGGGAGTCAGAGTTGTTCCTTGGCTTCATTTTTGGTGTAGCTGTGTGACTGTTGCAAAACAAATGATGGTTTTTACATATTTGTGCAGTTCCTAGTGCATGAACATATATTTCATTGTTATATTTAAAGAAAGGATAATAGGAACATCATCTTTGTCACAGAATCAGGGCATCACAAAATCTTAACCCAGCCTTTACCATAACCATCCAACCATGGGAGGTCATTTTTTTCACTTGTTTCATGTTTCTGATTTGGTTAACATTTGGTATAGGAACAGAAGAAATCTACACTGATCGTTATTAAGCTTTTTTGAGACTAGGCGATTAACCTCTCAGAATACAGTGGTTAATGTGGGTAACACCTGTTTGAAGGTTAAAAAATGCTTTACATTTTCCCCACACATTGAATTTATATGTTTTATATGATTCTTACATTAGACAGAGATTATTCCCGTAAACAGTATTAAACATTTGGTCTTTGTAATGTAGACATGGTATGTTTGTGTGTTTTCTATGCTGTAGGAACCCTAGGAACCCATTTTTTTAAATATTATTGGATGAATTTCAGGCCAAAAAGGGTTAAAACCCAATATTTCACATAATGACATTACTCATTTGGCGCTATGTCACCAGATGCAGTGTTGTATGTTATCTTGATAAGTGGATGACTGTTTTTGTGCAGTTAAGAACACATGCAACTATATTACATTTTGTGACAATATTTCATGTTACATTACAGAATATCACGTGATAGAGAAGAGTACTAAAATGAAGTTATTTCATTATATTTAATGCAGTGGTACAAAATTTATATTTTTCTGTTTCAGGAAATGCGAAAACTGTTCGCAATGACAATTCAAGTAGGTTTGGTAAATTTATGCAGGTTTGCTTTGACAACAAATGGATGATTAAAGGTTGTATCATTCAGGATTATCTGCTAGAACAGTCACGCATCACATTCCAGAGCCCTGGAGAGCGAAATTATCATGTTTTCTATCAACTTGTTGAAGGAGCCAAGGTAATGTCAAGACATGTCAAATAATGTACACACTTCATGCATATTATGTTAGAATAAATGTTGCTTTAATATTTTCATAATGAAGCATGTTCTCTTACAGGATAACATACAGAACATCACAGTACCTTTAAATTCATGCGTTGTCTAACAGGTATATGACAAGAAGTCCACGTAGGATTTGCTAACTGTCTGAAACATATGGAATTGACACTTCAAGAGAACTGACAGGACATGTAATTGTCCCATACTTGTATAGTCTGATATAGGCATTTGAAAGGAGAGTAAATTATTCAGGCTTCACACTTTAACATCACTAGTTTATGCCTGTCAGCCTCTAGAATTATTGGCATATTCTTCAGCAAATTGAACACCATAAGTAATTGATCTGACATTCTACGCAGTAAGCTCCCTGTTTCCTGGCATGTATGGGTAATGAGGTGTGCTGGTTACATGGATCTGTCAGTTGCATGAGAAAAAACTTACAGAAATTCAGTACAAAGCCAGAACAACACATTCTGGCGTTAGTTCTTGTGTCAGAGTCTTCATAGGTGACAAAATGAATTGATGAGTGAAAGATTTTGGATACATGTACTATGTAATGCAATCACAAATTCAGTCTGCTGCAATGACAGTTTTGCAAGGTAGAATGCAAGCAGTGGTACCTGGGAGAATTGCCATGCAGCAGGTGAATATGTGAGCACCACAGATTTGTTCTTGAATAACCTTATAAGGATTGTAAATTTGCTTTGAAATTCTAGCCAGTTGGATTAGAATTCCAGATGCTTGGATAATGAGTACCTAGGAGTTTACTGTAATTGGAATTTCTGTGAATTATGTATTTAGTGAGGGACCAGTTTGGCATAGTCTGCACTAGAGTTAATTGTGCAGTGTTTGGTAGAGGCAAAAATGCTTTACATTGAGTTTTATTAGTATGCACGTCAAAACATGCAGTTGCACAGTGATGCAAAGTTTCACACAAATGTAATTTTATAAATATACACTAAATGTTTTCACCATTTTTTTTTTAAATTCTGATATAATATGTTATTAATTGTTTGAGTCAAAAGTAACAACGAATTTTGCCTTTGTTTCCTATCTCAGTTGTGTCAAAGTGATATGTTCATATTCTGAAATCTGACAGTCATAATGTAATATAATCTAAGGACTCAACTAAATGAAAAAGTGTGGTCATCACCCCAGGCAAATATTAGTGCATGCAAGTAGGCCAGAGTCATTTGATACAGTCGTAACAAAATGTATATTATCAGTATATCCTTTTCCAACATTGTGTTCTTGTAGTTTAAATAAAATACTGGAATACAAAAGATGTAACTACTTATTAAGTGGACATGTGGACCAGTAACTTGGTTTTTTCAAAATATTTGTCTTAGAGCAACAAGGAACTGGCAGACTTGCTGAAGCTCAAGCCTGCAGACTTTTACAAGTATCTGAATCAGTCTGGTTGCATAAAAATAGATGGTGTTAGTGATGCAAAGAAATTTGATGCACTGAGATTAGCTTTCAATGTCTTGCATATTCCTGCTGAGATGTGTGACGGCATCTTCAGTGTTCTGTCTGCCATACTATGGCTTGGAAATATGGGGTTTGAGGTAAGTGTTTTATTATTTACAATGTAAATTGTATTTCAGATAAATAATGATATTTGTAATTATATTTCTGGATTGATTTCTCTTAAGCACAAAGCTGTATATAGACAATAAGTGTATTGACTGTGACAGCCATTTGAAGTTAGCCTTTTGCTATAACTGTGGAACCAGTTTAATATGTCTCAGAATGAAAATTTAATCTCCCCTGGATAATGGGATGTATAGATTACTTGAAGTATCTGTTATTCGATATCAAATATCCCATACTGTGTTTTTGTGGTAGTTTACAAAGATGGAGTCACTCTTACAGAACAGTGTATGCTGTGTGTATGTCTTCCTTTGAAAACTTTGTGAATAAGGTTTAGAGGTTATCCCAGTGACATTTAGTCTTTTACTTCTGAACTTGCAAAAAAATCATATGTGGCAGGCATGCATACTTTGAGATGTTACAGTTTTTGTGATTTCAAAAACAAAGTGTAGGAACAATTTATATTAAATATGGGTATCTTAAAAATATACAGCTTTTAATGCAGTAAATTTGTCATAAATGTAAAATAATTTGATAATTGATGAAGCACTGAAGCCAGAATTTGACATGAAGGAATTAACAAATATGACCACAAATACTGTACTAACCTTTAAAGGAACTGCAAGGCAAGTTTTGCCCTGTGTCAGATATTCTCATGTTCTGTTCATATGTCTGCTTTCAGAGATTTTTATTGAATATACTTGCTGGTATTGCAAAGGAGCAAGCCTGGCCACTATGAAAATGCTGCCCTGTTCATATTATCTGGCAGCGTTGCACATAAAATTTACAGAAAATGGGTATAAGAAATCTCTTATGAAAATGGTTAAACATCTTTTGTTTGTTGAATAGTACTGACATGGCAGGTCTTGGATAATTGTGGATATCTCTTTAAATGTCACAAATGAGGTGTTAAACAGTGTACAGTCTTGTGCAATTACATTAAAAGAAACCAACAATAAATTTTAATTATAATTCTGTTTCCTAAAAGACACAGAAACAAGCCTTTAATAGGATATATCTCACTAAATTTACACGTTATTCATCAGTTTTACTATTCTGAATAACTGAAATGCAGTCATGAACAACAAAAACGTTGCTTTCCCTTTTCACTCTTAGCATGTTTTTTCCTTTTAATATGGTATTTCGTGGCACCAAATTAATTTGGATTTGTGTACATTGCCTCAGGATATAGATGGGGAAAAATGTAAACTGACAGAAGAGGACCAAGAAGTTCTGCAGACAGTGGCCTCTCTGCTAGGACTTCAGATGGAGGACTTGGTGCAGGTGGCATTGCTCAGGCAAATTAATGTTAGGGGTAACATCACAGAGATCCCTCTGAAACTTCAGGAGGTGAGGCATTCATTAGCAGAATGGATATTAAAGTTGTTTATATTATCAATCACTTGAAACAAATTTGGCAGCACTATAGTGGTTAGTACTTTTGCTGTGTATTTAAGAATCCCTGATTTGAATGTTGTCCTGGATAATAATGGTCCTGACTGAGCTTTACTGTGGTTTTCTTCAGTTCTTTCAAGTTAATACTGGGAAGTGCTTTAAAGTAGCCATGTGATCTTCCACACCCTTTTCGTTTAATGACACCAAAACCATCCTCAATTTCTTCTAAATTCATCATAATTCATATTTATGTTTGTACAAAATTGTTCTCAGGTACCTAAATATTGACATATTTACAAATGATTTATGATGTAGTTGTGTGTTTACAAGTCATAACCACCTTCAATGATACCAGGAAATGTACTATCACAAATAAATGTATAAATGTGAAAATATTTAAGCAAAATTTTACATTCTGAGTTTAAAAAATGTATAACTTAGAAATCTTTATCATAATGCCACTGTAGTTGGGTAGGTGGTTACCAATGCTTCAGATCAACATGCTGCGTCCGCCTTGAATATTTATGCCCCGGAGACGGAGATGACAGATTTTTCCAGAATATTAGTAATCACCTACCACACTATATATGGTTACCTAAATCGTAAATAAATACTAATTATATTTAGAAACAAATGCATTTTTTCAATTATTACTTTGTCCTAATATGGAGACTGCTGGAAAGGAGTGCAGAAATATAAAATGATTAAAAGATACAAGAGAGTTTCCTCCCCTCATGTTGAAGTGGCTGACAGAACAGTAAAGGAATTAAGTCTGACCTGTCATTTGTTTGCCTGGTTTTTGTTAAGATCCCCTGAGTGCACTGCTCTTCCCCCCCTAGTCTGTGCCTCTTATCATTGTTGCTCAAATATAAAAGCTCTTTGTCTGATCTGAAGTGAAGTCAAGTGGAACTCTTTATAAAAGAGCACAAAAGGCTGATGGTTTTGGAGAAGACTAAGGATGGAATAGGAAGCAATTAAAAACACTTTTGTCTCAATACACACACTTTTCACAGTAGTTACACAGTGTTTATTGAAGGATGTTTTGTGTGCAGGCAAAGGAGAATCGACATGCTATGGCAAAAGCCTTGTACTCTCGCACATTTGCATGGTTGGTAAATCACATCAACACATGTACCAACCCAGGTCAAGATTCAACGCGTTTTCTTGGTGTTCTTGACATCTTTGGTTTTGAAAACTTTGCCGTGAACTCATTTGAACAGCTGTGCATCAACTATACCAATGAGAAGCTGCATAAATTCTTTAATCATTATGTATTTGCACTGGAACAGGAAATAGTGAGTTGTTTGTTTGCTTTCTCTTTCATTGTAAGTGTTAGAATGTAGTTGGCAAGGTACATTTAACCAATAAAAATATTCTGACACAATCAGTAGATTTTCCTGGTATGTGATATCAAGCAGTTAGTTCCACAGAATGGAAGATTAAGGGCAGTTGCAAAAGGGATTTATTCAGGTTTTTGTCTTCTGAGTCACGTAGTCTTGCACGTGGATAATTGTATGAAGGATTTAAATTGTGGCCTTTTAGGTTAGTAGTTACATATTGATAACCATCAATGAAGCTGCATGTTGTCTTAATCCTGAAGACCATGATATAAACTTTCACTGTGATCAGAACTTCAAATCTCATCAAAGAAGTTCCTCACAGAAGAGAGATGAAACTATATCTCTAATGGTACAGACCACAAGGATATCAGTGACAAAATACTGACATGATGCCATAAATGGGGTAGAGGAATTTTGATTGAGCACCCGAGGAAAGGAAAAAAAAATGTAGTGAAGAGTTTTATTCTTACTAATGAGATGATATGTGAACAAAAACTTTTATGTATAGAAGGTGCTTAATATAATTTTGTGAGTAGATAAATTGATTTGGTACAAGAAGCTGCTTGCTTCTTTCTAGGTGCTCCCTTGGCTTGCCTTTTGATCCTGCAGATGGAGAGAACATGTTTCTCTAAAATGTTTGTGAACTTTAACCTGCTTACATAGCATCCATCACATCCCAAATGTAGTACTTTTCAAGAGCACACATCCTTATTCCTGTGCAATTCCCTGTTTATCCAGCTCTACACAGAGTATAAATGCAAAATGACAGTGTGTTAAGAACTGAATAGAGACAAACAGAAGTAGGCTGTGTGCGTGTACAGACCAGCATGGTGCTGGTTTTTCAATAAATGGGTCCCAGGATGGCAGTGTAGTTCTGCTGCATGAATTTATGGCATTCACGCCAGGGTTAGCACAACTGTAGGTGCTGCCCCAGGCAATGAGAAATTCTGCCTCTCTCACCAGTTAAAAGCAGATGAGATTTGTCAAAACTTTGTCACAATTAATAACACAAAATTATTAGACACAGTGATGAAAACTGCCAAAGTGTTATAATTATTAAAACAGTTATATTTACATTGTTGTATAAAAAGTTGAGGTTACTGTCAATTAATGATCACAATATATACAAGTTCAGTTTTGAATCCAGTACAGATGAGATTTAACTATATCACAATTGAAACTTAGTCATTGTAGAAGGAATTTGTTCAGTTATTTACTTGATTTGAAATATGGATGATGATTAAACCATCATGAAGATGCATTAGAACATCTAAATTTCCTGTTTCAGTATCGACAAGAGGAGATAGAATTCTCTCACATTCAGTTCACAGACAATACTGTATGTCTGGAGCTGATTGAGAAGCCCCCAAGATGTATCCTGAAGTTGCTAACAGAACAGTGTCACATGCCTAAGGTGAGGAGGTTTTGTATTTCATCATTATCATTTCCTTTATTTTCCATATATCTGTACAGGCAAAAAACCTAACATGTGGAAATAGTCCCTTTGATAATAGATGTATACATGTGATAAATTACATAAGTCACACAACTAAAATAATAACAATAATAATAATACACACACTAGTCAAGTAACATAGGCAATAGAAAAAAACAAAAACAAGCTTATTTGACATGTAAAAATGTAAATGGTGAAAATTATACTTTAATTTGGAATACAGATATTTTCAAGTGCTTATGCATACCATATTGACCTCATTGACCTCATTGTTCATTTATTTTAGGTGTTTCTGTTATTATGTGCTCATATTGCAGTTGTGGAGCTTATCGCACATTATAAAATCATAATTATTTCCTTATATTTCATTTAATAATGTACCACATTGAAAAATATTTCATATTCCAGGTAAAAGATATACATTTTGATCATTTGTAGTCTTGTTTTACGTCTGTAGTGCAACAATTTAAACTTTAAACGACATTAAATCACATTTAATTTATTAAAATGTTCTTTAAATGTTTAAAATACCATTAAAATATATGTACATTCAGTGTTTATGCTACATGTTTCAGCCACACAGGGCCATCTTCAGGCAACATATTTTTTAAGGAGTTTATTGCACTGTGCACTTGGTCAGATAGTACTCTTAAGGCACGTTGTTGTTGCATCTAGTGTTACATTCACACAACTAAGAGAGCGGCACACCCAATGGGACACAAACGGCCACAATATTAAAGACAGGAAGAAAACATCCTGTGTCATCAAAACTAATGATAACAACAACAACGTGCCTTAAGAGTACTATTTGACCAAGTGCACAGTGGAGTAGACTCGTTTAAAAAATGAGTTGCCTGAAGATGGCCCTGTGTGGCCGAAACATGTAGCATAAACACAGAATGTACATATATTGTAATAATATTTTAACCATTTAATGAACATCTTAGTGAATTGAATAT